CAAGAAAGAATAAAGTACCTAAAATATATGATGACGATGATTAAAGAAAGAATTAAATTTAATAAGAATGAAAGGGTCAGAATCAATACAAATAAAATCATGTTTGATTCTAATAACAAAATTAAAATAAAGAAGAAACACAAAATGAAATATACCCAAATAACGATATTATTTTAGAATATTGGAAATCGTTATATGAAACACAGGTGATATTAAATAAATAACATTTGAAAATAAAACAAATCACCTCGTGGAATGAAAGATATAGAAATTATGATAATATCATCATCACAATGGATGATTTAAATTTAAGCCTGATGAAAATAAGTAATTGGAAAGCACCATGAATTAACACTATATATTTGTATTATTGGAAGAGAATGTCATCATCAAGAGATTCCATTCTTAATATCTTCAATGATTGGTTAAACTTCCCAGAAAACATCCCTCTAGACATGGTAAGTGGAAGAACTATATTAATCCACAAATGAGGTGATAGGAACGATGTCATTAATTATCGTCCTATCAGTTGTACAAATGTAATTATGAAAGTATTTACCTCCATATTGAAAGATAAGATTCATAATAGAATTAACATGAATAGTGAATCATTAAAAATTAGTAAAAATCAATTGGGATGTAAACTGCAATCTCTTGATGATAAAGAAGGATTAATTAATAGTTATATGTTAAAGCAGCAAAAAGAAGAGAAATACCCAAAATATGTAGAGTCTTTTTATGACATTAAGAAAACATATGACTCAGTAAATCATGAATGGGTAATAGAAGCACTTAAATACTTTAATGTAGAGGGTGCCATCATAGACATTGTAGAAAGTATGATGAACAGATGGAAGATATTCATAGGATATAAATATAATGAATATCTAGGATGTATTAAATTGATGAATTTTACAATGTGATTCATTATCATTTCTACTCTTCATCATCAAAATGAATGTAATTTCTCAAATCATAGAAGAGAAGTTCCCAAAAGCAAACCATACATTGTATATGGATGAATTGAGAATAATGACACAAAGTAATGAAGAAATGGGAACAATCCACAATGAAATTAAAGAAATAATAATTTGAATAAGGATGGAAATGAATGAAAAGAAATCAGGAATGGTATTAAAGAACATTAATAAAATACCAGATGGAATACAAAACATCAAATTAATTGAATGAGAGGACTTGTATAAATATTTAGGTGTATGGCAGTCCGACGAAATTAATGATACCTTCAATTGTAAAATCATCAAAGAAAAGATGATGAAGAAAATGGAAGAAATAAATAGTGATGAAAGTAGTAATAGAAGATATAAACAAGAATTAATACTGAAGTAATACCAATCTTCAGATATTCAGCATCAGTAGTATATTGGAAGGTAACTGACATAGATAGAATGGATTTAGAGATAAGAAAATATTTAAGAAAGGCAAAATACATTTGTTGTAACTCCAAAGACCGTCTATATGTCCCTATAAATGAAATGGGTGAAGGGTTAATAAGCCTAAGGGACAAATGTGTTAATGAAATAAATAGAACAGTAATGTACTAATGTACAAGAGAAAAATAGGAAATAACATAATAGATAGATGGTATTCCAAGAAAGGAATATGGAATAGAATTAAAAAAGCACTATGTCATAAAATCCCAGAAACGAAAATAGAAGAAATAATAAATGAATTTATTGAAAATAAAAAAGAAAAAGAAGTAGTATTAAAAATAAATAAAATAATGACCAACAAATACATCAAAAAATGGAAGTCCCATCAAACAAGTGGACATTTTAGAAGATGGTTCGAGTCAAAATTTATAGATAAAACTACTACAATCAATGCATAGAAGTCCATCAATATAAAGAAAAATGCATTCCTTCAATTAACTAAAATGCAAGATGGAGCAATATTTAGTGGGTACAGGAAAGCAAAAATATTAAAAAATGACAGATTGAAGTACTGCCCACTTTGTAAAGACAAGATATCCACAGTAGAACACATTCTACTATCTTGTATTTGTCATAAGAAATCACAAATTGAGAAACATGACCATATTGGCATTATCATATGGGAGGGATTAATAAGAAAATACACATTAAATAAACAATACAAGAAACCCCCATATGAAACAATGTTCCAATACAATGACATTACTATGATATTGAACAAACAAATAATGCCAAAAAGTGATGGACTATATCATAAAAGACCAGACATATATGTACTAGATAAAAAGAATAAAACTGGTCTAATATTTGATATGACTATTGTGGCAGATCATAATATTAATGGAGCCTATTGGAAGAAAAGAAATATGTATAAGGAATTGAAAAATAGGCTAATGAAAATAGAGAAATTAAAAGATGTCAAAATAATCCCAGTAGTAATTTCGATTAATGGGCTAATAAATGCCGAAAGTATTAAAATAATTAAATAATTAAAAATCGAAATTGACATCACTAAAGAAATTAAAAACTTTGTAATTAAAAACATGATGGACGTCATGGAACACTGTGGAGATCACAACCAAACATATGTAGTTGAACTACAAGACGAAGACTCAGGGATGGGATTAGTCTCCCCTGAGCCAGGAACAATAGACACAAGTTCTATTAATACTTATTAATTGCTTTTTATTTTATTATATTTTCTATCTGTTCCCATCTTATTTTCTTATTTAATTTATTATTTATCAAATTAACTCAAATCAATACAACATATCAATTAAAATTATATTTGTTTAATTTGTTGTGTTTTATTTTATTATGTTTGATTTTCATTTCTTGTTTTTGATATTCAATGTTTTGTTCTTTTATTTATAATATTGTATTTTTCATAATGGTAGTTTGGCTCATTTGTATTATTCTAGATGATGATATTCTCAGTATTTGTTGTGTATTTATCACTAGAGTCATTGTTTTCTTCTTCTCCATTTCTGAAATAAAAAATAATCAATAAATTGTTGATGTTTGATATTATTTGTTTTTGTTCTTAATTTTCTATTTGTGTATTGTCTAATTCTTTTCTTGTTTTTTCTGTAATTTCATCGTTTTCAATTCTACTTTTTTGATATTCAGTGATTTATTTTTATTTATCTCTTATGTTCTTCTTCAATATATCATCATTCTTCTTCTCACCAATATTCAATTTCTCATAACTAAATAGGAGAATGATGATTTCATCTTTATTTCATATTTTATGTTATTTCTATTTAATTTATTTAAATTATTTTATTATTTTAATTTAGAGTTTTCTTATTTCATTAAATGTAGTTTGAATATTGTTTATTTGTGTTTGAATCTTTTCTATTTCTTCTTCAAACTCCTTCCTGACTGTATCTCGTGCTTTTTGAATCATTTCATTTGAAATGGTTCGTTCTTCTTCCATCTTTTTTGTTTGAAGTTCTTTAATAGTTTCTTCTATTTCTTTGATTTTATTTTGAAGTGTGTTAATTTCTTATTTGTTATATTCTTCTTCTTACTCTTATGTTTTTTATTTATTTTATTTTTCATTTATTATTTTATTCGAAGATAGTACGTCAGAAACACCACACAGAATCCTAAAATATTTCCATCCTTCGATTCCCACCAGTTATGGACTGGTTATGACGTTGCGTTCGGTTAGAAAAACATCTTAATCAATACTACAAGAATAACAGTGTTTATTATGTACAATGACAGAATATCATTGACGATAAACAAATGGGTATTTATAAGGATGATATTATTACTTGTTAGAATACAAGTATTATTTGATAATATAAGATTATCAAAAGAAAAGGGTTTAGTGGTTGATTCTAAAAAGAATATTAGCCAATAGTAATACACTAGTAATTATATATTCTCCTTAAAATAATAAAATAAAGAAAAATTTTAATACACATCGAAATTAAAAAGAAAATAAATAATGAATATTTAAATAATTGATGTTTAAAATACTTTATTGTACATTAAATAAAGAGAAAATGAAAATCTCACCGTTCAACAACTAGAAGCAAAGAATAAGTCAAAAGTTGATGAACAAATACTTTTAAAACAAAGTGATTAATTAATCTCCACTGAACAATATAAAATAAAACTATTAATACTTAATTAATACTTTTTACTCATTTATTATTATCGTAGTTTTATTTCATTTCTTTGATTGGATTTTTGTTTTTGATTCATTTTTCATTTGTTTTAATATCTTCTTCATTTATTTTGTTTTATCTTTGAATTCTTCTTTGTTTTTCTTTAATATTTTATTATTTATTATTGAATATAATTCTTGGATAATATTATACGCTTTCTTTATCTTCTTATTTTTTTATGTATTTCTGATTATTCTCATTCTTAATTTCACTTCTTATTCTTTTAATTTTTCTTTTGAATTTCATTTGTTGTTAATAATTTAGATTTCTTATTTGTATAATGTTTATTATCATTATATTTACTTTCTTTCTTGTTTGTTTTTATTTGTATTCTTCTTTTTCTATTCACTTTTCTCTTGTTGTTTCTTTTATCATTATTATTATTCATTTTATTGCTATTGAAGTCCTTTCTTTTCTTTGAACTTGAATACCTGTTTGTTGTTTGATTTTCTTTACAAGACCCTATGGTATTACTCAATAGCCATGGCAACAAAATTTGTTGTATATTCTGAATTGATAAAACAAACAAAATAAAACAAATAAATAAGAAGATAAATAAAATAAGAAATAATAAACAAAAGAAAATAAAGATATAAAATAAAGAAAATAAAGATATAAAATAAATAGAATAAAAAAGATATAAAAGAATAAGAATATAAAAATAAGAATAAAAATAAATAAAGAATAAAAAAGAATTATAAAACAAATATAAAGAATGATATATCAATCAATAAAATAGAAAAGAATAATATCAAAATGAATAAATAAGAAAAGAATAATAATAATATAAATGATAATCAATTATAATTTATTTCTACTTCAATTTATACTGTATTCCATTTATTGTATTTTATTTCATTCATCATCATATAAAAAAATCTATTGGTATTCTTTCATTTTTCTTTAATTCTTTTTCACATCCACAACCATAAAAACAAGATTTTCCAAATGATTTAATTGATGATGGTATATTAATTGATTTTAATGATGAACATCCATTAAAACATCCATCTCCTATTTTATTAATTGATGTTGGTATATTGATTGATGTTAATGATAAACATTCATCAAAACACCTATCTCCTAATTTACTAACAGATGATGGTATATTAATTGATTTTAATGATGAACAACTAGAAAAACAACAATATCCTATTTTATTAATTGATGATGGTATATTAATAGATGTTAATGAATGACATTTACTAAAACAATAATCACCTAATTTAGTAATTGAAGATGGAATAATAAATTTATTAATATCTTTCTTGAAAATATTCTTTCCATTTATTATTTGTAGATTATATGGTATTTCAATACCAATTAACACTGGTTCATTCATAAATATTTTTTCTTCACTAATAAATTGTAGATTATCTATATTAATTGATGTTAATGATGTACATCCCCAAAACCAATAATATCCTAATTTATTAATTGAAGATGATATATTAATAGATGTTAATGAATCACAATTATCAAAACATTTATTTCCTATTTTACTAACTGATGTTGGTATATTAATAGATGTTAATTCATAACAATTATAAAAACATTTATCTCCTAATTTAGTAATTGATGATGGTATATTAATTGATGTCAGTGTTGTACACCAATAAAAACAATTATCTCCAAGTGATTTAACTTCTGATGGTATTGTAGTTCCATATGATTTTCTATCTGATTTTGTATATTCTATATTTTTACAGATATTTCCTTGTTCTTTCTCTTGTAAATATTCTGAATATTCTACTAAATACCATATA